TAAAAAAAACCGTTTTGAAAAACAGGAAGAAACGAGCCTTAAAAAAAAAGGGGGGGGGGGGGAAAAGGAGAAAAATCAACAAATCCAACTGGTACGTTTGAAAATGTATGAGCTTTCATTGACTTCACAGATCGTCTTAGCTCTGCACCGTGGCTGGTCTTTACCTGGGATGTTTCCGAAGTCCCTATAAATGCGGAAGTCTGTGTCAGAGGGAATGACGCCGCTCTGAAAAACCTCCTGGCCGACCACCGAGGCGAAGGGGTGTTTGGCCGCATGAACGTAAGCCTGGACGAGCCACGGGTTCTCCGGCCCTGACGGTGACAACGACACAAGAAACCCAAGATCGTCTGTTTTTATTGCGTCAATTATTGGGGATCCACTTTGCTACTCTAATACGGCAAAAAATTATAGTAAATTTAAATTTAATATAAATTTGCTTTCTCATCATTTTAGACCTTGAATAACTAAACATGTGGCAGACTTGCTGCAAACGAGTTTAAATCATAATGGCGCCTGGGAAGAGTTTTCACAACCCTGAACTTTTTCATATGTTGTCAGAATGTAACCACCAACTGCAATGTATTGTAATCGTTTGTGTTTGTAAAAAATAAAATAAGACATGGATGACGAGGAAGCTTAGGGAAAACTATGTATTTTTGAACATTTGTGGCACATTTGTGCTAAATCAAACCCATTACCATCAATCGCTTTCAGAGTCACCTAATTAGTGAATAGGGTTCACCTGTGTGTAATTTCGTCCTCGACTCTGCTAAAGGAAAGCCAGACGGCATGATCCTGCCACCGCCGTGATGCGTTCAGGGTGACGTTCAGTCCCAAACTTTTCTACAACTTTCTCTCTGGTCAATCTGCTGCGTTCCTCGTTCTTCACGATGCTGTTTGTTCGTTTGTTTTTTTTTTTTGTTCTCCTGCAAAACCTCCGAGGTTCACAGAACGGATAGATTTACACTGAGATTAAATTACACACAGGTTTACTCTTCACAGACCAGGCGACTCCTGGAGGCGTCTGGTTCCACTGGATTTCATTTAAAGGTGTCAGAGGAAAGTGGGATTTTTTTTTATATATACTATAAAAGTATGTGCTGCCTCATATTTTTAAATGAAACTTTTATAAAATACATTAAGGCTTGTAGCTCTAAAGGGACACAATATGGAAAAGTGCAGAGAAAAGAAAACATTTTGAAATGTTAGAATAAAGGTTGTATTTGTGTAATTAATTAGAATTACACAATTCTACAGATTAGATGCTGTAGAAATGTGCAAAGAAAAAAAACTGCAAAATAGACTACAAACTTTTCACCTTCTGTGGGAAAAACAAAAGAGCAGCAAAAATACACGCATGTACATTTCAAACACTTCATAAACTGGAAGAACATCATGAGTTTCTTAAGTATGAATCTTTCCATACCTGTCTGGAAAACGACTTCCTTGCCGCCAACGCCTGCAGCCTCCAAGTTAATGAAAGCACGAACTTGCTTGGCCCAGGGATGCTGGGTAATAAAACCATGACTGGCCTGAGATAAAATAATTTAGAAGAGGGAGAGATAGAGATAACTGAGGCGAGGAAGACGCAACACGGCCAAATAGCTTAGAGTCGGTGCCACTCGTGTTGATCGTTTTTCACCTGCAGGACATTTTCCTCGGCTCCGTTGAAGAGGAAGACTACGCCGTGGTGGAGAGGAGTGGACTGGTTGGCCAGAGCGTGGAGGACTTCCAGCATCACAGCGCAGCTCACCGCATCGTCACTGGCGCCTGAAACCAAAAGACGAGCTCATGTACCGCGGGAACAAAAACAGCTAGGCAAATGTTTACACCAGAAAACAAATGCAGGACGCCCTTCTTAAAAAACAAACAAACAAACAAACAAAAAAAACAGGGATGCAACTGTATATCATGCAAATAACTTGTTTGACAAGAGACAACAAAGATGGGAGGCGATAACTGAGACAAAGACACGGCCAGAACAAGTTCAGCTGAAACATACGTTGTGCGTCGTCATCAGGAAACAGAGGAATCAGAGTCAGAGCAGGAAGAAAGGGAAGCAGCATGTGACAAGAGCGTGTGATTCAGACAGATTAGACCGACTGACGGCAAGGAACAAGAGTTAAGAAATAAAAGGGGGGAAAAAAGTGAAGTAAAGACCAGGAGCATCATGCGCTCCGGCTTTCTAGAGTGAATCTGTGTGTTAGGAGGTGGGGGGCAGGGTGAAGCTGGCTGATCGAATGTCTGTCCTGCTTTCTGCTCCTGCTGCTAATTTACTGCTCCTCATTCCAGAGAAGCTCTGCGCTCCACTACACAGACACATAAAACGGCGTAGTAGACGGTTCACGTGCGTGCGCTGGCTCTTTGTTCATCTCTATTATTATTATTATTATTATTATTATTATTAGAAATCCCAGGGGATCAGATTTTTGTGAACTGTATGTTCCTGATGTATATTTATTTTTCTGGCCCACACCTATTGGATGTATTTTTTTCACACACACACCCCCCGCCCCCACCAGCGAAGTTGGGTGTGATCTAAGAAACTATTGTTTCTCCAACTTGCTCAGAGGGTGTGGAGGGAAAACTTACTGCAGACTTCCTGCCTGGTAACACCTCGATTTCTCTACACGCTCAGAGAAAGGAGTAAGGTTTTCTGATTAGGTGAACATACATACGTCCATCGTCTTTACCTGCTTATCAAGGGGGTTAGTGGAGAGGAGGCTACAGTGTCTATCTCCAGCAGAAATGGAAGATGATTGCTCTAAATTTGGGTGATCCATATATGGTCTGTGCACAAAGATAGTAGAGGGGGATTCTTTTTTTTTTATCCCATGCATTGAGTCTAAATAACTATAAATAATCTGTCCTAGTAGTATTTGGCCTTTTTCAGTAAAAAAAAAAAGAAAAAAAAAGAGATGCATACCAAAAGTGCTTGGGCATAAGGCGTGTGCAGCTGTAGCTCAGTGCTAACATGTAAACACAGGGGTTAGTTTGGAGGCTAACAGCAAGTTTGTAACCTAGAAGTCTTTTTATTTAAGAGTCAACAAGCAACTTTTGCTGCAAACTATCATTAAATAATAGATAGGCCTGTCTTAATAGCAAATTTTACTGGATGATAAATTGTCCTAGACATTATTGCAATAAAATATAATGTTGTTTTGGGACCATTTCCAAGTAACATTCTGATAATGCAAGTACACCCTCTCAAAGATCAATAAAAAAAAAAAAAAAAAGAATATTTAATACCGGAACTGGGAGACATTTTAGATGTCCAAAACAAACAAACAACTGAAACGACAAATAAAATGGATACTCAAGTCTCTGTGCACAAAACCGCCCTTGAAAAAATGGGCCAGTTGAAACTAATGCGCCAGACTGAAGCCCTTTGTCGTCCAGCTTTTGGCAGAAAGAGGGAGAGAAACGAGAAAAACAATCAATCATTCAAATAGAAAGCATCAAGCCTGTTTAAAGTTATCATGCAGCTGTGCGATTAATTGATTTATCGCTTACTGCAACAAGCATAATAACACACAAATAGAGATTTGGATATGTGCGGTTTATTGATGTTTTTATCAGTTTAGATGTTTACATCAAAATGAAAAAATAAAAAAATACTAATAATTTCAGAAATTTTTGCTCTATCACTCATTCCCAACCCTGGTCTTCACATCCCTATTTAAGATGACAGCATAAGAAAACTCCTCCTTAATCTTTAGGCGTGTCTCGTTAATCAACGGACGTTTTTTAAACACACATTAGTCTCGCCACGTAGAAGTGCGTCGGGACAGGACGGATTACTGAGCTGCGGTTTTCTAACACCCCGACGGTTCTCAATAGATCAGGTTTAAAGGGATCAGCAGGGAACCGCACCTGTCCTGTGTTTAGCAGAAAGTAAAAGATGTGTATATATTTTTTTTTTTTTGATGCGTGTCTGACTGCGCTGACCGGCTAACGAGTTTGTACCTGGGCTGTTGGCCACAGTGTCAAAGTGACAGTTGGCGAGCATGAGGTGCTGGGCTCCACGCTTGGGCTCCAGCTTCACTGCGATGTTGCTGATGCGGTCGTAGAAACTCGTGAAGCCTCCTAGGAAGTCGATGGAGAAGGAGCCGGTGGGGCGCTGGACGTCCACGGTGACCCGGTGAGGCCCCGCCGCCGTCCTCGCCCGGATGTCCTCTATCTGCTCCAACAGGTAGCCCACCGTCAGGACCTCGTTCTCCTGGCTGCCGACGGGCCGAGGGCCGACGCTGGTGATCTGCTCCAAGTGTCGCCTAAAATAAAAGAGGAACAAGAGAAGAGAGAGGTCACCATCAGGCATGGGAGGTCAAACCACTGCTCAGCTTACTGAAATAGTGGCAGACACATCCAGTGTGTGTTTGTAGCATAAACAACCAGAAGCAAACCTTGTAATCCAAGCTGTGTCTGACTCAACATTGTGCATCACGACAGAAAAAAAAAAACATCCTAGAAACTGTGGAAGTATCTCTTCACTCGCTATGAACTGAACAGTTAACTGATTTGTGTTCATCTCCATGATACACTGTGAAACAGAGGCTCCCATCGTAAAAACAACTGGTTTTTAAATTAAAGTTAAAAAAAAAAAAACGATTACCTGTGCTACATCCCGGTTCGCTTCAATCTGATTGTGGCGATCCAAAGTAGTAACGCTAAAATGTTCGTACGTACAAGGAAAAGAAAAACCTGATGTTCCTGCTTATATTTTTGCCTAAACAAATAATTGTGGCTCTGCCCACGCCGGTAGAAATCCTCCCCAGATACAAGTCAGTTCATTTGCTGCACCTAACAAATAAACCTCCCTCATCAAACCGTGGGAAGTGAAATGCCGTATTTTGTCGTTTTCTACAAACAAAGCGTCGGACGTTGATGTTACAGTTGGTGCTTTCAGCCTTTTAACAGTCTGAATTATATAAACCGGGACTTCCAGATCGCAGACAAAGAAGCTCATAGCTCTAAATCACTTCACATGCAGCACTAATATATGCAGCGAGCAGCTAAATGATGGCAAATCCTTCTGCCCAGCACTTTTTAAAAAGCTCAACCCCGGCCCTGCTGACCTCAGATTTTGTGCCATAATCCCTGCAGCCCACACCCCACCCCTTCTACATGGGGACTGAAAATCTGCACAGAGAGGCACTCTGATCCTTTAATGTGAAAAATGTCGCAGCTGCTTTTAATAATCGAGATGTTTAGCATGTCTTTAAACAGCCCGCCTGTTTTGTTGAACTGAAACAAAAGCCAACAGCTGAGACATTCAGATAGGCCCTACGGTGCTTTACAAAAGTATTCAGAATCCTTTAACTGAAATGATTAATCGCGATGAATCAGTTACTGGAATATAATGACTCAAAATAGGCCATTTACAAAAAATAAAAAATAAAATAAAATAGCAGTAATTAAGCCAAATCTACACAAAATATATGTACACTTTGCATTTAACATAAAAACACCTCAGCCTGCAAATATGTTTGAGTCAAAACTCCTCAAGTGGAAAAGTTTTAGCTTCACCCTAAAGTCACTAAAGGAATGCTATGCTGTTGTATTTCAGGCAGTAAAATTTTTTATATTCTTACTTAAAACAGGAATTTGATTTTTTTTTTTTATTTGTATCATTTAATATGTTTCTAATGTTGCATAAAAAAAGTCTTAAGTGGTTAAAAGAAAAATTTGTAGAATGTTTTGGATCCGATTAATCGATTAATCATCAGAAGAATATAATATAAAGTAATCGTTAGTTGCAGTCCACAAACTTCAGCATGACTTATTGGGATTTGCTGTACTATTAGTACTACTAACAGAGTAGCACGTCATTATGGAGTGGGATAAATGGGACACAGCGCTACATTTGTATTCAGGCCTCCCTTAGTAGAAACAAAATTCGGCGCAGCAGCAAATCTTTCAGCGTACGTCTCTTCCAAGGTTGCATATCTACAAAATAGCAGTCAGATGATGGGGAGAGCATCTGTGAATATAATTTTTAGGTCTTACAGCAGATTTTTTTTTTTATAAAAAAAAAAAAAAAAAGGATTTCAGTCTGGACTTTAAATGGACCCTTCTGCCACATAAATTTGTTTTAATCCAAACTCTTCATTCGTAGCTCTGGCTGTGTTTGTCCTGCTTTGAAGCCACCGCAGTCTCAGTTTTCTTGAAGTCAGTGTTCTTTAAGGAATGCCCCGTTCTCAGCTCCATCCGTCTTCTGTCAAGTTTGACAAGATTTCCTGCACCTGGCTGCCGCAGTAAATCATCCACACAGCATGATCCCACCACCGTCATGCTGGTGATGGGGGAAGTGTGCTCAGAGTTACTTTTCCTCTCTGCATAACCTTTGTCCGCATTTGCTGGGTCTCCTATGAGGCTTGTGGCGACATTCAAACAGGATTTGCTGCCTATTTCTTTATTCAGTTGCTGTTTTCCTTTGCCATAAACCCAGATTCTTCTGAAAAATAAATGTCTTGTCAAAATAGTCCCTCATCTAAAGCAGTGAAACTGAGCAGCTCCTCCAGATACTGTGAGCCTCTTTGCAGTTGTGACAAGCTCTTCCGATTTCTGATTAAAAGTGATTTTCAAAATGCTGCTAGTTAAACCACAATTTATCCATTGGTATTACAATAAAGTGGGAGGACCAGACACTAATGTATGAAGCACTCTCCAGGTTTTGTTTGTAATAATACCAGTAATAGCAAAAGGTTTTGTGATACTTTCATGCATCATTTTTCTTATTTCGAAATTATGCACTACTCTTTACCAACAAAATACAATAAACACATTAGATATGCAGGTGCATTGCAAGAGAAAATGATATGGACGCCTTTGCAAGGCTTCATGTGTGCTCACGTTTAAGTTACACTGTTTACTATTAATTAAATAAGCTGCATGCAAATAATATGACTTTTAAATTACCGTTTCTTTGCAGTTGCTAAATATTTGATGTTTACCAACGATTTGCAACGCCACCTATAATATTTCACTCCTATTACTTGCAAAAATACTTCATTCTTATATGACCAATCTTTGGGTATATCTGACAGATGCAATTAAAGGGTTGTTTCATCATTTTTCTACCCCGTCCGAAGCCCTTTTACCCTGTAAACACCTTTCCTCTCCTTCCTCTGCAGCGATCAGGTAAAGGTGGGCCCGGAAGAGAGGATCAGCAGCACTTTCTGAGGTGGGTCTTTTAACTCGGACAAGAGGAAATGTTAGCTTTATTCAAGCATAAATATGACCTGGAATAAGCAGCAAAACACACCTTGCTCTCTCCGCGTTAAACTCTCCGCTCGGCTTCCCGATGACAAGCTGCTGCAGCGACAGATGAACAAGTCCCCACAGCAGCAAAACAAACCCAGAGAGCAGCGCAGCCGCCAGTCCTTCCCGCAGTAAGAACAGCCTCACTTCGGGCTTCCTCTTCGGGTCGCCGCTGTAGCCGTTATCCTCGCAGTTCCGGCCACAGGCTCCGTCTCCGTCCTCCGCGCCGTAGCGCGGAGTCCCGGAGGGTTTTATTCTCCGGACGGCCGTGTCGCTTTCCATTTTTTCAGCCAGCCGTTCATCTGCAGCGCACCGAAATGATTTTGCTCGGACGACCGACGGATCGCAGTGTGGGACAAACCGAACGGAGGGGGAGGGCGGTGCAAGAATGAGCATCAAAAAAGAGGCAAATAGTGCACTACTCCTACTGTACGAGGGAGATAACAATAAAAGGCTAAACACTATCAAGTTCTGGCAAATGTTAAGATATTAGACATCTCACTTTCGCGTAAAATCGCTACTTGGTGTTCTGTATAAAACATAAAAACACATAATTCCACAGTGGGGAAGGTGTGTTAGTTTTCTACCACAAATTTGGTTAGATAATTTTGACCTCTTCAAAGTTTGGCATATAATATCTTAAAACCTAACTCTGCTTTTAACTTCTGCAACTTTATCCCTAACCTTTCTGTTTTGTTTCTTGATCTTCATGTTAATGTTTCCTGTCTTGTTTTCTAACAAACTTCTGAGGCCTTCACATGAAAGCTGTGTTTATTCTGAGATTCATTTATGCGCAAATGGGCTCTGTGTGCAAATGAGTTGAATTGTGAAAGCAGTTTGGTTAAAGTACACTTCAATTAAATGTAACAATGTAAAATGAGACAAATATCCATAGGAATGCAAATCATATTTTCATATTTTCAAAAAAATGCCCTTATATGTCACAGATATGAGCTACTTTGTTCAATTCTATTCTTCTAAATACAAATAAAAAAGATTGAAGTTTGTTTTTGTAAAGTGACAAAATGTGAACAGACAAGGAATTTGATTTTATGACAGAAGCCTGTGGGAATTTACAGTGCTTTGCAGTTTGTTGCATAATGTAACAGATTTGCAAAGTGGCTCCATTACTGAACTGGAGTCATGGGAAAAAGGCAAACTCTCATAAGGAGTAAAAAGGGGAAGATTAAAAAGCTACAATTTATCTTGGTCTTGTGGATGACCACATAGACTTCACAAAGGACACAAAAAAATGAAACAGTGAAATTCTAAGAAAACCCCCCCACTGCATTTAAAACATTGATTAACTAACAGTGGAAGATAAAATACAAAAAAAAGGTAAAGATAAATTTAATTTTATTCATATAGCACATTTTCAGCAACAAGGCAATACAAACTGCTTTGTTGGTCAGTAATAATTAAACACCAAAACAAATCTATATAAAATTACAAAACCCACTTAACAAAAAGGACACTGTTACACTCTCAAAAATACAAAATACTAGTTAATGTATTTTTCTTTCTATTCAAAAAAGAAACATGGGGGGAAACGTAGGTTTCCAAAATGCACCTGTATGTGTGTAAGAATGCTACCATGTTCATATTTTTTGGGCGACAGAGAAATGTGTCCGAACCAACATGGCTCATTAGCTTATTCACTATGAAGCATAGTTGTGGTAGGCTCGTGCTGTGCGGATTTACACAATTAAGTTTTCAGTAATCACAAATTTAAGGGCAAATTAAATGGTCCTACAATTACTGACCAACTTAATCCAAAATTAAATTAAGGACTTGAGACTGTGACGTGAGTGCAGTGGATCAACTTTTATTATTAAGTAAAACGTTCTTGTCACTTTTAGATTATTTTTCTTTTTAACGCCCCCTGGTTAACAGCTGCTAACAAAGCTAACCTCATAAACATAAAGATATTGTTGTAAATACGACAACAATATAGAGTAACGGCATCTATGATATTGGGTGTTTTCTTTACGGTTTCTTTAGTACTTTTAGAAACAGTTCGGGGCAAAACTGTATTCTTATGAGAACTTAGTCACGTAAAGTAGCTTTACTTGCCGACCTTTGAGTTAGCATGCTAGTAGTAGCTAACGGATCAGTTTTTTTTTTAAATAAAGTCAGAGTTGTGTATACGTACTCTACTTCCTCTTTCAAAATAAAAGTTTCTGGTTAAATAATTGCAAACGTATCAGAATTTTTTTTATGTGGTTAAAAAAATAAACAAAAGTAAAACAACAAGTGAAAAGGACAAATACATCCATCAAAAAACACATTCTGCAAAGCTACGTGTTTTCCCTGTCATTTAAATAGGAATTTTATTTGCTTCAGTTAAGGTGGTGAGGCAATTATCATTGAAAGTTTTGAACAGCATGTAACCAATTGTTTCACAAAGTCTGAACGTTTTTACCCAAACCACCAACACCAATTCTATAAAATACTTTAAATTTAATTCAAATTTAAAGTAACTGGTGTCACCAGTTCTCTGCAAAAAAATTATTATGTATATCGTTGGACTATTATCGTATTAAAATTAATATAAGTACTGTTATTGTAGGTGTGTCCCAGCAGTTGTAAGACTTTATAACCGTCACTTTCCCTAGAAACTCAGCGAACCTCCCTGCTGTTATTTATTTGCAGTTTTTATTTATTTTACTCACTGTAAACAGTCCGTGAAACGACATGCACAAATTGCACACATGTAAAATTAAAATATTATTTTTCTGATGTTGTAAATGTTATCTTACTGTACAGTCGATTGTTCTCATATTTTGTCTTTTCATGTTTCTAAACTTCTGTTAATGTACTTTGCTGCTGATACACCTAAATTTCCCCATTAAGAGACAGTAAACATCAAATGTAGAAAAACATTTGTGAGATACATGTTTTTTACATTTACCAATGTAAAAAACATTACATTGTGAAGTAAACATACTTCACAATGTAATGTGAAGTATATTACATTGAAATGATCCTTGCCTTTTTAATCAAAGAGGAAACTAAAACAGACAATATGTTAAAAATAAGAACTTTTGCACAATATTCACGTAAAATTAGGATTTTTTTTAGCAACTGCATAATTATTTCTGGTGTTAGTACTGTTTCATCATAATTCAACAGCATAACTGTTCCAGAAGAATCTGTCAAATATTTAACAAAAGAGAAATGATTGATAAAAAATAAAAAAAATTAAACAATTGGATCTATCAACCAACATATAGTCAGAGAAAATAAAAAACTTCTGCACTATTGCCAATAAAACGATTATCTAATAATAATAATAATAATAATAATAATAATAATAATAATATGTGTTTTATTTCCTTCCTTCGGGTGTTCCTACAATTTGATTATAAAACAAAAGGACACCTAATTCAGATTAACTTCAGATATTTTGAAGGTGAACGGAAGCAGTGTTGTGTCGTCATATCTACCTTGACTTGGTCCTCTCTCGGCTTCCTTAAAACCACTGCCAGTAACCCTGGTCGATCATTACCCTGCCTAGCATAGCAGAGAGAAGTCAGCCAGTCGTGTCTCTATCCGAGGCCGGATGGTAAAATCCAACCTCCAGCGGATCCTAAACAGTCATTGCTTTGCTCGCGAGAAAGAAGGAAAACAGCTGCCCTTTACTACCATGGCGAATTTAAGTAGCGGTATCTGTGACATGATTGGGAAGTAAGTAAACATGAAGACGTTGCTCGCGTAGCTAAGTGCTAACAGTCCTGTGGGGGAGGGGTGGCTAGGCAGCAGAGCTAGCGAGAACAGAAAAAACGGAAGTAACGTATGGTACCTAAAAGTACATGTATTATTAATCATTCCTATATATGTTGGTTGTTTCGGTTTTAAGGTTGTTAAAATTGATTTTATTTTTTTTTTACTATACACGGCTTTTTTGCGCCTCGACATTCAACTTGAACGGTCTTAAAGGTGGCTATGGACACCGAACTGTGTTGCGTCACGATAGCGATCTGCGCTAGCAAGCTAACTGATAAGCCACAGTTCATCAAACCGTTAAGTGACGCCTTTTCTTTTGGTATCATTTCTCTACTCAAATATAAGAACGGCAGTAGTGTTACGAAGTAAATTTAAACTGAAACTATATACTAACAAAGTCTTATATCTCACAACCCCAATTGACGTAGTTAGCGGTCAATAACTTCACTAACGTCATGTATTTGATTAAGCGTCCTAGATGGCCTGCTTATCTGTAAGGTCTGACTGAACAACGAAGTAAATTAGATTATTTCTAAAAAGAACGGATGGTTCCTGAAACCAAAAAAGTGGGTTTTTTTTTCTGTCTTACGGTTTGGTCAATTATTACACAACTGTCCCCCCCCCCCCCAAAAAAGGGTTTTTTCCCAGCGGAAAATTTGCCAAAAAACGTTTTTTTTTCAAAA